TCCTGACATATGACCCACATGTATATAATATATCTCATGCCAAATGTTCATGCTGTCATAATCACATAATCATGCTAAAAATATTACACACGTAAAACTATAACATGAACAAACAACTTGAATGTGGGTGTAAATATCATACATACATGCATGTACCATATTTTTTGATAATATCTAAATGTTTAAATTACTTGCAAGTTGTAAGAATTGTATTTTTAATTATATAGGGGTTAATTGGTGATATTCAAAAGTTTAAAAGTAAAGGTAATTAGATGTGTTTGAAACTCCAAGGGCTTAAATGTAATTAATTTAAACTTACATCTAAATTTAAGGGGGTGTTTGTGATTGCTTATAAAAGTTGTTTTTTTAACTTATTTCAGTCTGGTACCGGTGATAAGTTGTTTTCTGGTGTTTGGATAAGAAAAAAAAAACTGCTTATACCGGTGCCAAATCGGTAATAAGTTGTTTTTGATAAGTTAATCATTCCTGACTTATGAAAAACTGTTTATTACCAGTTTATAATTTTAACACTGTTTTATTTAACTACGGTTTGATACCACATAAGTTAATAAACACTTTTACAAAAAAACATAAGTTGTTTTAAATAAGCAATCTCAAACACCCCCTAAATACGAAATTACATACAAATAGAATAAAAAAAAAACTAAATGGACGTGAGTTTACTTGTCCAGATCAATCATGCTGTCTATTCGATTCGCACTTAGGACAGTGTTTAACTGTAACTCCTCAGAGTTGGGATTATTTATAAACAGTTTTTAAAAGAGAGGCTAAAGTAGAGTTATGCAAGTGCAAGTCCAAGCCCAAATTCAAACTCAATAAATGAAATAAGAGGGCTCGATGGTGTTTATCTATACTATATTATAAAACATTTAACAAAAACTCTTAAAAGCCATTTTCTATGCACAAAGTATTGTATATTGATGCATATGTTGGTTCCAAAAGGGTCTACAAGAATACTAAACAATTTGTAGAAGGGGGGGATGAATACAAACACAATTTTCAAATTTAAAATATATATTGATAAAGAAGATCAATACAGATTTTACAAGATTGTTTGCGGAAAGATAA